TTGCTGTTAAAGAGAAACTTAAAGTATATTTGCATATTACTGAGGTGTTTTTCTTACATAGCAAGTTGTTTCTAAGTAGTTTATAGTACCAGTTGATAATATAAGAGTAGAGGATTCGCACTCTTCCTTCCCCCGCTCAACTCGCTAATCCTCGTAGATTCACTAACACAGGTTTCCTCCAAAGTCTGCCTTTGGAGAGAAAGGAGCACAGATTTTAAACACCCCAGTGTTTCTCAATGCAGCCGCTGCCTCTCCTTTCAGCACCGAGGGCCCAGCTGAAGCAGCTGCTCTTGGGAGTTGTAAGCCACCAGAGCCCTGTTGACCCACTGGGCTCACTGACCCCATCGAACTGAATTTAAGCAAGATACTCAGGACCCATCTCCCTGGAGCACACAAGTGTAGATGAGCACCCACCCGTTCCTGCTTCACCTCTGCGCTACACCCTAGGGCACTTGGGTCCATGCGCCCACCTCCCAGACCTCCTGCTCCCTGGCCTTATCCAAAGACATTGGACTTTGGCCTGAGCTTGAATGATGCTTTCAGGGATTTCTCCTCGTGCTCTTCTTCCTCCGTGTCACCACGAAAGGAGGGTGTGTTGTGGATGATCTGAGTCCTGAAGCGGATCTTATTAAGCCGAGGCTTCATCCGCCCGCTGCCGGAGGCTTTCCTGGTCATCTCCTTGCCCTTGCCTGGCACTGCTGACCCTTCGGTGCCCTCAGCTTCCTCCCCAGTGCTGTGATGGTGGTGGTGGTGGTGGGAGAGCCGGTAGCTCATGAGGTTGGAGGGCAACACCTTGGAGAGCCTCCAGCGCCCACTCCCATTGCCGGCAGCCCCTTCCTCCTCCTCCTCCTCCAGGGCCCCCACGAGACTCCGCATGTCCCCCGAGGTGCCCTGGTGCAGGTACTGCGCAGCCTTGCGCCCGCTGTAGTCACGGATGTCCACGTCGGCGTCGTAGGCTCCTACCAGCAGCTTAACCACTTCGGCGTGCCCGTGCATGGCAGCTATGTGAAGTGCGGTGTGCCCACCGCTGGTGCGGGCGTTGATGTCCACGGGCAGCTGGTGCCGCTGAGCAAAGTTGACCAGCGTGGCCAGCAGC